GCAGCACATGCCTTTGGGAGCTTTTTAAAAATCAAGATCCCCAGGCCTCACCCCTGGATAGCTGTATTCAGTAGGACTGAGTAGGGCCAGGGGGGTCTTTTTAAGTCCCCAGATGATTTCCACATGCAGTCAGAGTGATTCATTTTCTGGAGGTCACCCTCATCTCCCTTTTTCTCATTATCTATACAAAATTTATCAGTGAATTTTGTCTTTACCTTTGAAATAGATTAAGGATCCAGCCCAGTCTCACCAGCCGCACAGCCGCCACGCTGGTCCAAGCCCACAGTCTCTTTTCTGTGGGGTTTTTCTAAGAGCCCTCTAGCTTGTCTCCCTGCCCCCATCCTGGCCCTAAACAGTCTGTTTGCTTCCCAGCCGCCAGCGCGTGACCCCTAAAACATGGAAGATGGGTCATGCCTCCCAGTACTCAGGACTCTCCTGGGCCTTCCCATCCCATAGAGAAAAGCCAGTATTCTTATCCTGTGCAAGACCCATTCAGTCCGGCCCTTTGTTACCTTTCTGAGCTCATCTCCTTAAAGTGCCTCCACTCTCCTGCACCTGCTCTGCTCCAGCCGCGGTGGGCTTCATGCCGGGCTCGAGTGGGCTTCTTGCTTCTCTTGACTCAGATCCTTTGCACTTTTTATTCCCTCTGCCTAAATTTCTCTTCCCACATACCCCGTGACTCACTCTCTCATTTCTTTCTGGTCTTGCTCAAGTATCTTGTTATCAGAGAGTCCTTCTCTGAACTCCTCAGAAATGGGCAGCCCCACCCCTACTCCATCACGTTCTGTCCTCCTTATGCTGCTGTATTTATTTTCCTTTCAAGCGTGTATCACACACACCACCACCACCACCACCATCGCCACCATCATCACCACCATGCATTAAATAGTCCTTGGTGTATTCGCTGATTGCCTGTCTCCCACCCCTAGAATGAAACCTGGACTTTACCTGCTTTGCACACTGCCAGTGCATAAAACTGCACCTGATACACAGAACTTGCTCTATAAGTAATTTTGAATGAGTAAATTATTTAGTAGTGAAGGGTTAGGGAGACATCTCAATGGCAGCTTGCAGATGTGTGTGGATACGAAAATAAAGCATTGATCCACAAATGGTTCGGAAGCATCTCGCATTCAGTATGTCAGCTCTGGGGCAGAGGAGGCTTGCCGTTGAGGTTTTCATTACTGCCACAGAGTTTTGATTACTGTCACATGGTGGTATATATCATCTGCTGGCTGTGCAAGGCCCCTCTCTAATCGCTTTTGTAAAAATTTCTTTAGTATGCTCATTCACGTATTCTTTCGGATACACTTTTAAGTCATCTTCCAAGTTCCAAATGAAAATTCCGCTTGGGACTTTGACTGTTAATCCTATTAAAGCCATAGAGCAATTTGGGTAGTATTTACATAGTTAACAGCTAGCACGCCTCTCCCAGAAATGCTTTCTTCCTTTATCTTTTGTAAAGTTGTGTACTTTTGGATTTTTCCAACTCCCACACATTTGTTACTGTGGTCAAGGATATTTTTTGGTGTTTTACATTATTATTGCTATTTTAAGGTCCAGCATATCTTGTAAATGATGATGAGTGGTACGTAGGAAGGCTCCTCATTCATTTACTCACTCAGCAAGTATCGAGCACTTACTAGTTAACAGGCACTGTGCTGAGTCTTGTCAGCCACTGTTCTAGGCACTAGGTGTCAATCAATGGCTAAAACAAATGGCGTCCCTGTATTATTACAAGTAAGAATCCAGTGAGACACACAAGCACTAAACAACCAAGCAGGCAAATCAATATATACAGTTACAACTATATATTTATATTAAACAATATATAGTTACAGCTGGTGGTAGGCGCACAGCTTATAGGGATAAAGAATGGCGGGGAAGTCCTACTTTGATACGGTGATCAGGGAGTACCTCTCTGAGAAAACTATAACAAAGCCAAGAACAGAAGGCTAAGAGGAATCGCCAAGGCAAGAAGGACGAGGAAGAATGTCCCAGGCAGAAGGGACAGCATTTGCAATGGCCCAGAGTTAGCAAACGCTTACAAGAGGAACAGAAATTAAACCAGCGTGGTTAGAACAAAATGAGTAGGGAGAGAAATGATAAAGAGTAGCTTGTGTATTCTTGATCCTTTGACCTTCTATATAAATTTTAGAATCATCTTGAATTCCGCTAGAGGTAAAAACACCTCCAGAGTTCTGAAGTCTTTACTACAGCCACTCTGTCATCTTTCCCTGTTACGTGGTATCCAGCCCTCCATCTCCGTAGGTCTTATTTGATTATTTTCAATTCAATTATTTCCTCCATTAAGTTCATTTTCTATCTCTTTGTTATGGGTGCATTAGGAATGCAATTAACATTTTATTTTGACTTTATATCCAGCATCTTTGCTAAATTCTTATTAATCCTAGTGATTCGTCTGTAGAGACTTTTAAATATTCCACATAGATAATCATGTGCAAAAATAAAAGTGTATTTCTTCCTTTCCAAATTTTATCACCTTTATTTTGTTTTTGTCTTACTGCGATGGCTGGAATTTGAGAATGATGTCGAATACATTTGGAGATAACCAGCATCCTGGTCTTTAAGCAAATGCTTCTAACCTTTTATCATTGAGTAAGATGTTCATTTTAGGCAATCTTCTCTTTTCTTTCTGTAGGTATTCTGCATAGCGATTAAGAAAGTTTACTTCTAACCTCTGAGTTTTTTTTTTTTTGAAAGAATATTGAATTTCATCAATGCTGTTTCATCTCAGTGGGATGATACTGTGCTTTTTAAAAGCTGTGGATGTGGTGAATTACATTAGTTGATTTGATAATGTTAACTATCCTCAGGTTCCTGGAATAAATTTAATGTAGCCAAACTGAATCATTTGTCTGTGTGTTGTTGGATTTGATTTAGTGATAGTATGTGTAGGAATTTTTCTCCATTTCGTAAATGAGATTTACCTGTTATTTACCTTTATATGCCAATTATATTGGCTGTGGTCTCAGGATGCTGCTAGCCTTATAAGTAGGGGATTTTCTGCTCTCTGGGAGGGATTATGAAATATTTAAGTTATTTCTTCCACAAGTGTTTGTAGAATGCTTTGATGAAGCCATCTGGGCCTGTTGCTTTCCTTGGGGAAGGATTTTTAATTATGACTGCGTTTATGTAATTTTTATTCTTGAGTCAGTTTTGATAAAGGTGTATTATGAAAAATACATCAATTCCATTTGTGATTTTCATTAGCATTAAACTTTACATTTTCTGCTTATCTATTAATTTCTGCAATGTATTTAAATTCTCATTTCCTATCCTTGATATTGCAGTATGCTTATTTGAATCTTTTCTCTTTTTTTCTCTGTTAAGCTTGTAAGAAGTATCACTGTTTCATTCGTCTTTTCAGGAAACAAACTTTATTGACCCTCTTTATTATATATTTGTTTTTTATTTCATTCGTTTCTGCTCCTTCCTGATTTTTTTTTCCCTTCTACACGTTTTGGATTTATCTGTTTTTCCTTTTTTTTTGTTAAACCCTTAAGTTGAATGGCCAACACATTCATTTTCAACCTTGCTTCTTTTCCTAATGAAGGACTTTTTATTATATATTCCTTGGTGAGGACTAATAAGTTTAGTTCAGTAGGATTTCCATTATTCTTTAGCTATACATACTTTCCATTATGATTTTTTTAGATCCCTGAGTTATTTAGGAATATTTTCCATTTCTAAACACATTGTGTTCTTTCAGTTGTCTGTTTTAATTGCTTTGTAACTTGATTTCACTGTAGTCATTGACTGTGGTTACAAGATCTTGGAAATTTGCTGAGGCTAACTCCATGTCCTATCGTAAAATCACATTTTACAAATATTCAATATGTGCCAAAAAAGAATTAGTATTATTAAACCTGCATGCCACGTTCCAGCTCAAGGTTGTTAATTGCATAAGCTACTCAAGTTGTTTCTATCTTTGCTGATTTTTTAAAAATCTTCACCTACTAACTGCTGGAAATTCTGTGCTATGCTGTTTCTTTCTTCCAAGTTTTGACTCCCTTCCAGAATCGGCTTTCTTTTCTTCACTAGAGAGAGGTGTGGAAAGGGACAAATATAAAGTACAAAGTTTAACTTAAGAGTCCAGCCAGGAGATTTTGGCGCTGAGGAGGTGGGTAATGGCAATGGAGATGGAAAGCGTGGGACAAAGGTGATATCTTCTGTTGAGTTAGAAACATCAGGACTTAGATGCTACCCAAGAAGAACTGGGTACCAAAGTCAAAATACAATAGAACTATTCAAAAAAAAAAACAATATAAATACAAAACAGAAGCAGACTCACAGACATAGAATACAAACTTGTGGTTGCCAAGGGGGCGGGGGGTGGGAAGGGACAGACTGGGATTTTAAAATGTAGAATAGATAAATTAGATTATACTGTATAGCACAGGGAAATATACACAAGATCTTGTGGCAGCTCACAGTGAAAAACCAAATGTGACAATGAATATATGTATGTTCAAGTATAACTAAAAAATTGTGCTCTACACTGGAATTTGACACAGCATTGCAAAATGACTATAACTCAATAAAAAATGTTAAAAAAAACACAATAGAACCATTCAACTAATACTTTTACTGTTTCTTATTAATCTTTCTCTTTTTCTCACCTGATTCCCCAAACCCATAAAAAAGCCCAAAATTTCAGCTAGTGAAGGGGGAGGTGAGATAGAGTGAGGAAGAGAGAAGCCACCCTTCTGTACTTGAGGTTTCCAATCCAAGTTCAAACCCAAACTTGGGGAGGGAGAAACTTTAAATTGGATAGAGTGGTGGAGGAAGGACTGAGAGGATGAGCTGACCCAAGACCTGAATGAAGGGCATGGTTCTATTAGCCTTCCATCAAACTCTTGGACTACTACCTGGAGATTTATTTACCTCGGAAATTTTAATTTATTAATTTTCTCTTTGCCTCCAAACAGCTCTTGTTTTAACCACTTACCCAGGCTACGTCTGTAATTCTGTTTTAGGTTGTGGCTCAGGCAGTGTTATTCATGTGTATGAACACAGCTGGCATCTTCATCAGTTACCTGTCAGACCGGGCCCAGCGCCAAGCCTTCCTGGAGACGCGGAGGTGCGTGGAGGCCAGGCTGCGGCTGGAGACGGAAAACCAAAGACAGGTACCAACTGGAAAGGCCGGGTGCCCTGGGTATTACCTAGCCAGTCTCTGAATTACACAGAGCTTTTTTCTCCCCAAACACATTCTGACCAACAAGTGTTATCTCAGAGTTTGTGTCATGGGATCCTGGAGTCTAAAACAGTTACGTGAGACTCACAGGTCAAAGCGGGTTGGTCTTACTTTCCACACTCAATTGTTCCCCACGAGAAATAAAATGATTCTAATCATAAAGTGATTTTCTGACACTTTTCACTGACATCTACGTTTGTGAACAAGGCCATGGCTTCTGAAAACCATTAACATTCTCATCTTTGACTTTCCTTTTCTCCAACTATCAATTGCTATTTCAAATAAATTTTTCACTACATAGCAATTCAGATTATAGGAAATTCAGAGAAGAATCTTGTATGTGTGTAGTTCCTAATACTTCAATCTGATCTTCAGAAGTGATGACTGAACACAATAAATTTTATGAAACAGGATACCAATCCCAGGATAGGGGATGCAGTAATGAAAGCAGGTTGGTCCATGGTGGAAGCCGTGAGTTTCAGTTTGAAGAAGTTAAAATAAAGGAGTTTCTTGGACATCCTGACTGGGTGGATTGTAAGGATTTAAAAAATAGCTTTGGCCTCATATGATATGTTTCCAAAAATAAAATTAGCTTTCAAAAAATAAAGATATGCTCCTATATAAATTATTCATATATTAAAAATGAATGTGTATCTTTGCTTCTGAAAGTAATTTTCAAATAGGAATGACAGGGATGTGTTGAAAGTGGGTCATAGAATGAATACATTTTATGTTCAATATGTTTGTATACTGTTGGGAATCCAACACTGAATAAATATATGAATTCTATTATACTAGGCTCTTTTTTAAAGTTATGTCTGTGGATGCACGCTTGTTATTTTAGGCTTTGTGCAATAATGGTTTGAGAAATTGTAAAGAAGGTAGCTTCAAAAAAATGCTGTATTTCCTTCATCTAAATCTGAGCAAATCATCAATAAAACAAGTGAGCAAAGCCAGGTCTGTGTGATAATGGATGAGGCAGCCAGGTAGGGTGCAGCCTGACAAAACTCCTCTCTCACTGCCGCTTGTTATGGCCAGGGGCACGGAGGAAACTACTGAATTTCCAGGTCCTCCACGGACTTCAGAGGATTCAGAATTAGGACATTTCTAAGTTGATGTCTAAAGCAATTATAGAATCTCATAATAGATCTATTGTAGTTTCCCTGAACATCACTATAAAATAATTTAGAAAAATAACTTCAAGGAAAAAAAAATCACTGTGTACAATAAATACGAGTACCTCCCAGTATCTCCCAGGAGATATAATATGATATATTACATATTACATATTATATATATATATATATAAAGTGTTCCTTTGCAAAACAGAGCAGTTGCCAGCGTAACACGTCACTCTTTCCATGGGATCTATGCCAATTCAGACAGTGCTGCCTTATTAATAATTTATCAACTGCTCTTGATGCTCTGTTACAGCCAGAACTGCAATTGTGGATAAGTTGTCTGGGAAGCTCAGTCTTTTATTTAATGTTTATGAAACACTGCAGACAGGGGAAATGATTGCCTTATCATACTCATCATTCTTCTTTTCCCGTTCTTCAAGTTCGTCTTGGAACCACTACTACCATATAATAATCTAACATGGTGAAGGGTCCTCCCTTCATCCTCTCTAATCTTCATCTTTTTTAAGTTGATGGAAGGAGAGAGGAAATAAATACTCAGGGGTGAGAACAAGCGACAACTCAAATGTAGTGAAAATTTCACTAGAATTCATACCATAGCATATTACCTCCTAGTTGGCCACCCAAACCACTTAACTCTCAGTCCTACCTTCCTCATCTGTACACAGGACAATATCTTTCTTTTCATCAGTATTTTGCTGGCCTCAAGTAAGATAATGTATAGAAGGCAATATAAAACTGTAAGCCAGCCTCATTATTTTTATGGATGAAGCACGAGAAAAAACTCTTTGGGTGGAAGATTCTTTGTTCTGAGGATTAAGTAAAATGTGCTGTAGGTTTGTTGTAGTTCTGTGTTCACAATTCTGATAAAGTATTTCTGGTATATTGACCACCTGTTTCTGCCCAGTGGTGGTGTCTCAGCTCGCTGGCTCTCATCATTTAATGCTAACGTTACCTTCCATTGATATTGATCTCTGATTCAGGTTTCCATGACGCCTGGGAATTTCCTCAGTGGTAGATGGGCTGTGAAGTCACAGGTTTGAAATGAGATCGCCCAGGATTTGAAAATGTTCCTTAGTTGCTGACTATCTTAGGGAGCTTGGCCAAGCTCTGGGTCTTAGTTACTCCAGCTCTAGCATGGGGATGATAATGCCCTCCCCAAAGAGGCTCCTTAATGGTTAGAAATTTTGTGCGCAGGGTCCCTGCAGCTCAGAGAAGGATTTTTATCAGCATGATGGTGCACATTGATTTATATGAATCAGCCAACATATCAGTCCCCGGAGGACTCGTTTGAGAACATGTTATGGATTGGCTTTTCTCAGTGGAAACCCCAGCTGAAAGTTACTCATATGGAAGGAAATCAGGATGGTGGTTCTCCTCAGGTGTCCAGCAATCAGAGCTCAGTTCCGGATTAGGATCTCCAGGTATTTTAAAACATCATATGCCATTAACAAATCCAACCCCATTTACATCTTCAGAGCTAATTATAATACTGTAACTGCTAGAAATTCTGCACCATGTGAAGTAAACACTGTAAGTGCCTAAGTGACAGCAGGTTCTTTTTCCTCAGGAAATTATCCCAAGGGTGACTAAATGGCATTTTATTTTTGCACTTGCATGCAGAACCAAGAGGTCTTATTCTGCAGAAATGCTCATGTTTTGTGAGATTTTTTTTCAACAACTGGCTTTCTCTCACAGTAGAATACAAGGAAAACGTTTAAATGACTTAATCTGTTCAATCATGAATTAATTTATTTATTGAGGATCTATTATGTGCTATGAGCTTTGCTGGACCTTGGGACTATAATGGTGACCAGCAATCAGTTCTTGGTCTTGGAGAGTTCATGGAAAGCGATGGACAATTACACAGACACCTGGATGGTATGTGAGTCATACCTAGGCTGCCGGTTGATAGAAGTCTACCTAAAAGAAATAATGCCTGAGTTGACTTGTGAATAGGATTTAGCTCAACAGAGAAGCAGTAAAGAGAACTGCATAAAGGACTCAAACAACACACACAAGCATCTCGAAGGAAGGGAGAACGCTGTTGCACTTAACAGCATTCCCATAATTCATTTATTTATTCATCCACCCATTCATGGTGGAGTTACAGAGACAAATAACACTCAGTCCTTCCTCTGGATTGGTTGAATAGAAGTTTAGTGATTGGAAAAGAAGGAAGAAAGGCTTAGCCAAGGTATGATGACAAGATATATATGATCTAATAAGGGACAGCCAATGTTGGGAACCAGGTTTCTGATATCCCCAGCAAAGTTGCATACTTTCTTCAATGGCATTCTGCTGCACTGTTCCACTCAGGAAATACAGAGATAGAGATAGAGATAGAGATAGAGATAGAGATAGAGAGAGGGAGTTAACCTACCCACCAGGCATTGTTCAATGTGCTGTGTATGCCAAAATGAACACAATCTCTTACATGTCTCTATTGCAGCCTGCCACATTGGATCTCAATCATTGCATGCCTGTTTGTTATGGTAAATTGTGAGCCCCCTACGGGTGGCCCATGGCAGCAGTTCCTAAAATCCAACAAGAAATATACGGTTATGAAGTGACTGAGATTGTCAACATTTAATAATTGTTACTAATCATTTTTCCAAAGAAAAATCGCCACGCCCTCCTGCTTGGCAGGTCCCATACCATAACAAGATGCTTGAAGTCCTGAGAGTCGGGCTTTTTCCTTGGATAACCTGAGGTTGTAGACATGGTTCTTAAGGTCAAGAGCAATCAGGCAGGAAAGACCAGCAAATGTTAAAACTCTTTGTTCAATGTCTCTTCTAAACTAGGTTGTTAACATAGTTCCTCGGAGGTGATTCTCAGCTTTACAACATCTCTTTTACCTCCCAGAGCAGCTGGCTCAAGACCAGGCAGAACCTACTGAACGCTGACATTTTTAATTTAGATGATTGGAGAGGCTGAGCACATACTGACTCTTTTTTCAGGGAAGCAAGGACTTTGTCTTTTTTTTTCCCCTAACAATTTTGTCATCGGTTGTAACCAGCACAGAGCATACTGAGTTTCCCTTACCTGTTGGTCTCTCAGTTTCCAGCTGTTCTTTATCCAAAATGGTCTCCATCCCAGAAGCCTGATCTGGTTCAGAACCAGGACACTGTAGGAGTCAAAGCAAAATCTTCAATGTCTGCAAGATCTGGATACCAGTGTTACTTCCTGTGCTTCCTGGCTGTGGGAACTCGGGCAAACTACTCCCTCTAAAGATCTTGATTTTGTGGGTGTAAGATGACTGTGATGATGCTGCCTTCTCCAAGGGTTGTGCTGAGGATTGAAGATAAGCAGTTCTTAGCCTGAGCTTAGCCCGAGGCAGAGGATGCGCTCCAGTCGAATGAGAGAGGGTGCTGTGATGACAATGCCATTGCTGCCACTCTTTTCTGCAGGAAGCCCTTCAGTGGTAATGTTCCCTCCAAGATAAAATCCAAACCCCTACACATGGCCCCAACAGGCCCTCCAGAATCTAGCCCAGATTCTTCTCCACCCCCTTGCCACACATGCACGAAACCAAATGACCATCAGCTCCCTGAACTGTTATTTCGCTACTCTGTATATACCATGTGGTTCTTTCAGCCTGGAAAGCCCCTTCCCTTTCATTACACTCAGAGGAGTGTCTCTGCCCTGAATATTCTGTTCCAGCATCCCTTCCTCCGTGAGGCTTGCTTTCACCTCCCCAAGTTGAGTTGAAATGCTTTTCTTGGGCTTCCAGCACGACAACGTTAATTCTGTTAGAGAACCTGTTGTGCATTATGACGTCTGGTGGTCTGCT